CAGCTGAACAAAATGAAGATGAAGACAGACAGGAAATAAAAGCAGAGGCATGACACAAGAGAGACATGACAGTAAAACAAAGTAAAACAAGAAATCACAAAAACAGAGATAAGACCCTAACACTATATAACTTGACACAGAGGCACACAGGTAAAGGACGTGGAACTAATTGCAAAAGGCCCTAGATGCTAAGAAGGAATATAAAAATCAAATATAAACAACAAACAAACCGAGGAAGAAATGGAGTAACTTCATTCTTCCTTAATACTGAAACTAAAAAACATGTTACAACATTAAATGCACATGTGTGTGCAGCACACATGCAGGGAGTAAGGAAGTGGTGAGTTTTTCACAAGTACAAGAAGCCCCTGCAGTACCTTCAACAGATTATTTGAAAATTTAAGGTCGTGAGTATGATGAGCCTGATGGACAGATTTAGCTCTCTGATGATTTTTTGCTGCTTTGTGTTTGTCTCTGTAGATGGAAGCGGCAAAGGTAAACCTTTATTAATGCTTTTTATGAAAGATCTTCTATTAATGATAAGTTATTTAATATAAACTAATTGTAAAAATGGAAGGATGGATGGAAGAACAACTTAAATAAATGAGACATTTGTTTGCTGAGACTGAAAAGTAAAGACTGAGAGCACAAGACTGGAATGTAGAACATGAGAGACATAGATATAATAATTGGGTACACTGAAACATGATACTGTGTCATGATAGTAAAAGTATTTAAATATATTTTAAAAAGCGAAAGCTCTTAAGTAATTTGATTCTTAAGTTTAATCTTTGTATTCCTTCCAAGGAGTGCACAAAATGAACACCGCCATAGAATGAGTGCTTTCCCAAAATTCCCTACGTTTGGTTCCTATCTTGTTTTGATCTTTATTTTTTATTTTATTCTATTGTTTTTTCATGTGTGTTGCTGAATCCTGAACTTAAACATATAGAATTGATACAAATTTGAGATGTGTGATACTGATATTAAATCACAAAATGATATGTTAACAACATAAATTAAGCTTTAATCTTCAACATACAAAAGTTGCCCATTTTAGTATGAAAATGACAATTTGTGTAATTCCAAAAAAGTTGGGATGCTGTGTAAAATGTAAATGAAAACACAATGCAAGAAATCTGCATATATTATAAAGTCATATTTTATTCGCAGTAGAACAAAGAAAACATGTAAAATGCTTAAAATTAATAATGTAATTTATAAATGGTATTAGCTTATTTTGAATTTGATGCCAATAATATATGTTTTACTACTATTAGTTACAACAGTAGTGTAAGATAGGAATAACACTTTGATGCTTAAGCTTGTAAAACAAGCATCATAGTCAAGCTAAGAACTGTGAGTGGTGCCAAAAAAATGCAATAGTTCCTACATACAGTGACTGTTTTTATCAACTCAATAATTTAATTATACAACAATCAGATATAAATAAGATAATGTTCAAAACAATTTAAAAAACACAGTTTTAAACCATTATCATCTCTAAATCTCTCTTCTTTACTTTTTTAGGTCCACATGTTTCCTGTGAAGTTGCGATTATGGTAGGAAGATACAGCACTCGGAAGACTCCTCCACGACAAAGTCTGACAGTCAGCTGTCCGGTCATACACTGTGGAGAAATGCTGGAGGTCACCTGGTGTAAACTCTTTGACTCAGTCAACTGTGAACGG